TATTCTTAAAAAGGTAATTTATTAATAAAAAAAAGAAAGAAAATACATCTGGGAACTCAGGCTATTGCTAGATTTTAAAAAAGCAGCGACAAGGATTAAGCACTCAGAATAGCTTTTTGGAGGTCCAGCTTAAAGGTTACAAGCAAAACAAAAGCAGCTGGGGTTAGCCCAGAGGAATCCACAAGCCATAACGAAATAAAAGGAATAAACCTAATCGCGTCTTCCTAGACATTTCCTGATCTACTTACATATCTGGGGTTTTAGATGAATAGTTTCTAGGTATGATTCTGATGATTTGTCATACTTGGCCCAAGGTTCTTACAGCATAACTGCTCCCTGTCTGCCTCTCCCCGGAGAACAACCACAGACAGACAAAAGGGGAGTCATTTTTCAATTTTAAAAAGTTCTAGCCTTCCCATTGGCTCTTTTGGCCAGGTGCCCACTCACTTCCTTTTACCTATGCAGAGCACTGAGACTTTTTAACCCTTTAGAGGTAGAGCAATTAGTGAACAGCTACTAAGAGGGATTTTATAGCTGGGTGCCCATAAAAGGGAGATACCCCACCCCTTCATTTATCACAACTGATTATCTCACCTCTCACTGTTAAATAGGTTTAACATATGGTGGGAATGCTTTGTTTCCCAGTGTGGTCCCCCGCCATGTCAGTGGAAAAATACTGGTATTCCATCATGGAGTCCAGTACCAGGTGAATGAATCACATGACCCTGCAGGGTCAAAGCAGCCATGAGTCAGAGTTTGTTTGAAGCATCCCAGGAAACTTCTCAGGAAGGCGGGAGATTAGCATATTCAAAGACCTATTCCCCCTAATAGTTCAGTTTCCTCCCAGTTTGGGGGTTCAGCCGGGGGAAGGGCGATGGTATCGAGGTCCCTTTCTCCGGCCGCTCTGCTCAGAACGTCTCCATGGAGCAGGGTCTGGATGGCCCAGGGGAGCCAGGAGACGGGGGCAGTGTGAAGCGAGTCTCTTTAAGGCCCCAAAGGGTGGTGGGCAGCACAGCCCATCCCCGCAGTATTTTGTCCACAAATGAGGCATTGTTTCCAACACCCCAAGTTTGATTTCTGCTCCCCCACTTCACCCCGTGTCCCAGGTGGGCCCCAGCCCGGCCCGTGGGTTCTGTCCGGCGGCCGCTCGGGTTGAACTAATCCCATCTTTATGTCTCATCAACTTTCCCCACAATGTTCATTCATCCAGGTTCTCGTGATGCTGCCTGAACTTCTCACTCACCTTCATCGGCTGAACCCACCACGAGGGGACATTTGGAGGCTCCGGTATCACAGCCCCTCCTGGGGTGGGGAGATTTGGGGGGCAGGGGAGAAAGAAGCTCTGGGGGTCTGTAAAATAGAAATACAGGGCAGGGGAGATCTAGAGAGAAACGGGGGAAGAAAAGGGGCTGGGGGACCCTGCTGCAGAGAGAGGAGGGGGACAGACACCAGGGGGCAGTAAGTGCCGTTATTCCAGTGCCAGGGTCAGACGCAGCATCCCCACTCCCCACTGACAGCCCTAGGCAGAGACTGGCCCATCAGGGCCAGCGAGTGGGACCCCGACACCCTCCAAGGGCTGCTCTGTGGGGAGCCCGACGCGCCCAGCGCTGGGGCCGCTCCTCTAGCTGGTGCCAGAAGTCCGGAGTTCAATCCTGGGATGCAGCAGTCGGGTCAGGAGCAGTCTGGGGGGCGGGATTCTCTGAGGCAGGGGCGTTTGGGGGCAGGAGATTTGTGCTGACGTCTCAGCCCCCCACGGGAAAGCAGCTCTTCTCCATACGGCCAGATCCAGGCTCCTAGGGGTGTAGAGAGATGGTAGGTTAGAGGGGCCCGTGTCACCCTGAGCCCAGACGCTGGAGGAAGCAAGGGACACAGAAAGGGGGGGTCACCTCACCTAGGGTGCCCCCCTCGGGCAGCTGTAATAGGTCTCAGCCAGGATCAGCTCCAGGACGAGCAGGACCACGGCGCCCAGCACCAGGTGGGCGATGTTGGTATGGATGAAATCCGGGCATCTTGAGGGGGCTGCTGTGGTGGGAAGGGGAGAGTCACCCAGGGCCTCGGACAGGGAAACCAGCAGCTAGTGCTGCCCCAGGAGCGGAGCCCTTAGACCCGCTTCTCCAGCAGGACCGGCCCAGCCTCTTTAGGGAGTTCTCTGAGGCGCCGCAGCTCTGGGGCCTCCCTGGGGCCAGACCCCTCACAGGAGGCTACGTTCTGCTGCCCTGGGAG